AACCTTTAATTTTTGATTTAACAACTACATTAATTAATCAAGATTCAAATAATGAAGATATTGATATTTCAAATACTAAAATTATTGAGTTAGTAACTAAGTCAATTGGAAAAGGCACATATAGACCAATTAAAGAAATATTAGCTTATCTGATTCCAGTTTGGCTTGAAAAAGGAATTATAAAAATAGATCTACCTATCATTCATATAAGAATCTCAGGTGACGGTCATAATGTAGACAAAAAAGTAAAACATGTGATGTTTACATTTACAATTTTAAATGACTTAAAAAATATTTTAAACCTGATAATCATCATACTCTAATTCTTTACCCGGGCATTGAAAATTATGAAAGCTTAGAAGTTGCATTAAATATCTTAATCACCGACCTCAACAGTATTAAAGATGGTTATAAAGATCAACAAGGTAGACAATGGCAAATCAAACTATATTTTAGCGCAGATTGGAAAATGCTTGCACTTTGCTTAGGCCATAAGGCCACCAATTCCGATCATTTTTGTCTTTGGTGTTGTTGTAGTAAAAACGAAAATGGAAATTTAGACCTTGACTGGACAATTCAAAAAAATATAGAGAAAATTAATGAAAATTACATGACAATCAATGGACATAAAAAAAAACCACTTTTTTCAATGATTCCACTTACTAATTGGGTTCCCGACGAATTGCACTTGATGTTGAGAATCACCGATAGACATTGGACTTTAATTCTCTCAGAATTGAAAACTACTAAACAATTTGATAAAATGAGAGATATTATAATTAAAGAAATGAAACGTATTAATATTAACTTTCAATTTTGGCAAGAGCAAGGCTCTAGTACATAGCAATATACCTCTTTAATGGGTAATGATAAACTTAAAATGCTTAGAAAGTTTAATTTGGCTACAATTTTTGCTCCGGAACGTTCAATTTTAATTCGTCAATTGTGGGATAATTTTTTAAAACTCTATACTAGTTTAAAGGATCATACAACTACTGCAAATCAATTTAAAACTGATGCTATTACTTGGCTTCGGTTATTTCTTACAAAATCGTCAGGAGAATTCAATAAGGCAACATTTACAAGAGGGCTTTACCGACCTAATGATATTACTCCGTACATACATGTAATGGTATATCATCTACCTGAATTTATTGATTCACATAGATGTTTTGGAATAGATAGTTTCTCTTGTGCAGCTGTTGAGAAAAAAAATAATCAGCAAGTATCATATTTCTTCAAAAAAACTTTAAAAGATGGTGAACATCAACATACTCAAAAAGCTGCTATTCTCGAAATATTAGATTATGATAATCGAGGTCTTTACTTTTATAAACACAATATTCCATTATATTTTGAGAAAGATACCAAAATTAGAATTCAACAATCTAATCTAATATATCTAAACCAGCTGCTTGACATAAAAAGAGAAAGATTAATTACGTGGCAACAATTAAAGAACTGTCAAGGTCTGTCAAGCAAAGGAAAAAAAGCAACTTGGTTCAAAATAATAGAACAAAAAGTGCTTAGCAAAGCAGAAAG